AAACAACTTTGACAATTACATTATCAGAATGAGGAAACCGAATTAAATGTATCGTCGTCATCAACATCACCATTTTTATCATATATACTGTGGGCAAGGCAAGTGTCACCAAGCTGCCGATAGGAGATAATGCAACTATGTTTGCGCCAACAAAGATAATTAACGATCAGCTCAGTAGGCTGGTATTTAGCTAAGCTTTTTTGTCTGAATGTTCAGTGCCAAATAATTATCTCGTTCTGCTTCGCACTCTCTCTTTCCTTTCTCCTTTCACCCTTAAAAAGCTTCACTTTTCCCTTCATCCTTACTTCATCCATTCCATTCATTGAGCTTCTTCAACAAACCATCCGACACTTAAGGGATCAAAAATATGACTGATAAATGCAGTAAAATTTTCTTGACCGTCGCAGTACAGCCAACCCTCCCCCCCCCACTCCTCCACCAAAAAAGTGATTGCTTAACTTATTTGAGCACTATCCCATACTCCTAAAAAGAGCTTGAGTTTTACTGCTTAATTTTTATTCCAATGTGCTACAGTCTAACAGATTCTAATCTGATCCACTAGGCACTTCACAAATCACTAACTAACAAGTGCACTTAAAGTACTACTTTTAAAACTTAATTGCGGCCAGACAAACTTCAACAGAACCAGGTGTTAAATAAACTGCTGCAGAAGGCTGAGAAAGTAAATACCGGCTTTTTATCTTTTCTGTGAAGGAATCACCATTATAAATTCTGATAAACACTTTCCCGTTACAACAAACAACCATTAAGAAATACAAACAAACTTTATTTTGAAAACAAAAAAAGCGACACTGGCATTTTCCATTCCATTCCTTAAAAAGATAAAATGCATTGAACTAAATAAACCGAATTGGTCACCTAACAGAATAACAGTCAAAATGACTGCACTGTGTAAATGTAAAAAACCCTTCAACCTTTTCCTTCTATCACACGAGCTATCGCATAGCCAGCCATCTAGAAACCAAAATAATCTGTTTTTTTTTCAAAAAGCAGATTTTCGTCCTTTTCAATCATATCCTTCAAATTAAACATAAGAATCTACATTATATTAAGAAAAAAGTCAAATAAAATTGGTAGACCATATAATACAACCTACTGCAATACATCAACAGTATTCAAAGAATATAAAAGTAATGAAAAAGACAAAATGAATAAGAAAATGCTGAATTAAAGATGTAAATGAAAAACAAAACTGCCTCTCAAAAGCAAGCCTCAACTCAGACTGCCATTTTTCTCACAGAATAAGATAAAAATTAAAAGATTCAAAAGCAAAAAATGCTATAAACTACTACATAATATAATTACGGCAGGGCATCAAGTTTGAAAAAAACTGACTAGATGCATCGAAGAAAGAATTTAATAAAAACTCACGGTATTATGACCTCGATTAAGACATCACTAGACAAATTTGTAAAGTCAAAAGATTCTCCCAGTAAAAAGAACAGCTACTTCGCTGGAAAATTCAAGTGAATATGATGACAAAGATAATAAGGTGACATCCCAACATGAACAGACATAATAAAAAATGCTTGTATGCTAAAATACACTCATCAGCGAGCACATCCTTGTAAAGCAGACATTCAAATGCCAATTAAGCAACTAATTTAAGCTCTATAGGTCTTAATTTTAGCATTTTTCAATAAAAGAACAAAAGAGTTGGCTTAAACAAGTTCATTTCAAAATTCGAAGGTACTACATTGATTCACGTAACAAAACAATTAATGAAACAAACAGGCAAAATTCAAACGGAAGGAAAAACTAAAATCATTTCTATACAAATAACAAAATTTATACTTAAAATGCATCAAAAAATAGCGATTTCATACATACCTCCTATACACAGTGCATAAATTCATTCAGTGCAAAACATAAATCGACAGATGAGAAAAACAAAGGAAACCCTGAACACAGATATGATATACAGAACGTAAATTTTAAACTGGCGCTTCCAGTAATCGTTGGTTAGATAGATTTATAAATAATCAGCAAAAGGAAGAAGAGTAACAGTATCGCAATCCCCAAAAGCAACAAACGATTCTGAATTACTCTGAAATGACAACCTATTCGTCGCAGAAAATATCCCATAACTTCACTCTTTGAATTGAAATGTAGCTAAAATGAAATTCATCCCTCTTCTCTTAATTTTATAGTACCAAATAAGAAAACACAAAATAACCTTCTTATCATCGTAGATAAAACCAACTGACTCCTATTAAGATCAGTGTCTGCACTACGCATACGATCACGTGCCCGTGCAAGAGTTTCATGTTGTGTACTCAAATCACCCAACACTTCCGCACCAATCTTCAATAAATTCTTTTCTTTGAACTTAAATGTAAAAACTAAATTAGCTTTAAAAATAAAGGCAATGGCAGATAAATACGACTGCAAAATTTCACACCTGTTCAGTTTCCATTACCATCCGATAAGTGTCCTGCAACCTCCTCGAGGTCCGTTCTAGACGCTGCGTATTTTCAATCAACTGATCTTGCTACAATAATCTTTTTTTGCTCTCGCAAATAATTTGCAAGCATAAACTGATGGAAATGCTCTTAATTTTTTGAACAAAACCTTTTTTAAAGCAATTTTTTAATTTAAAATGACCTGATCTAAGGATATTTCGTTATCAAAACCCAACAAGTCTTCCCTATCGCTGCCCTCCTTAATCCGCTGTATAGTCCGTTTTAATTCTGCTTCTAACTGTTTCTTATCGTTCCGATAACTGCGTACTCTTAATTCGTATTTGGAACGATCTGGGCTGTAAAGCATTAAGCATTCCACCGCTAAATTTTCTTAAACTATTTGAAAATCATTGCAGAGCAAGAAATAATTTTTTCGGCTTCCAGATACTTTTTTCACATCTAATCAATGCTTTTAAAAAAAGGATGTCACGCTTGCCTAGTAGAATCGATCCCCCTAACCGTCAACTCCATCTGTTCCAAAAGGTTCTCAACATCAACGAGAAGGCGTTGAATATTTTGAATCCCCTGTACAACCTCACTTTTTTCCAAGCTGTTTAATCCGCCTATACGTGCTGTTATCTCTGCCGTTTGCACAGAATACTGCTGTTCAAAGTCGCCCAACAATGAGGTTCCCATCTGTAAAAGAAAGTTCCGTAAAGAGCAATCAAATTCTTTAGACAGTAAGAAGCCGAAATGTAACCAAGAAAGCATACAATTCAACAATTCATGTTAAAACTCCTTATATGCAGAAAATAAATTAAATAGCATCCGATGGTTTAATGAATTACGCTTCCAACAGTATAAAAAGTTCTTTACAAGAGAAAAGAGACACAAATAAAATGAAAAAAACGAACCATCCTTTTTCCAATAACCATAAATATTGAAAAAAATAAATTTATACATCATCATAAAACTAACTTCAAACTGCCTGGCTAAAATGACAATTCTCAGTGTCCAACAAAAGGAACCACGAAGGAAAACAGTTTAAGATCGCCTTCAAAAAAAAAAAAAAATTAAAAAAAAAATCTCCGGCATGAGTGCAATAACACATACACTAGATAAACTACTTATGCGAAAACAAACATCCCGAAATAAACAAGCGATCAGAGTTCCGATTTAAGTCCCTAAAATGGTACTGACTGACCATTAGCAAAAGCCGCCTACAGAATGAGCACCCAAATAAGCTTGGATATGAACCATTATGAACAAAATTTCAATTTTGCAACACTTTATCAGCTATGCCGATAGTCTCAGAATTACATCAGTACAAGTTTTAGAATACGTATAACATATAAATTAACTGCACCACATAAAATCTTCATTGACCAGTCAGCAATTTTAACTGTAATACATTTCTAAAAATCGAACATTTCTCAAGAACCATGATACAAATAGAAGTACAACAACAATCCTTTAATTATTACCTAAACGCCTAATTTCAACAAAGGCAATTTCTTCCGACTTGTTTTCCTATCCAAAATGGAACAGAATTTGAGATCAGAAGTTGAACACAAGATTGAAAGCAAAATATTAGCATTCTTTAGGACCCAAATGACCAAACAACGCAAAAAAACTCAAAAGGCTTTGAGCGCAATAACGAAAGCCGAATGTGGTCCTACAATGAATGTAAAAAGCTGGATGCCCAAAGAGCCAAAATACCACAATTTTAAGCCATAAACCTGTCACAAAGGAAACCTTTTAACAGCCTTTCCAATTCCTCATTATCGGCGTTCTATAATCTCGAGACCAGCTATTTAATTTAGCTCAAAGCCTTGTTCCATAAAGCAGAAAAAAGTATTTCTTCTAATCAAAACTTCACAGTCCTTTCAAATGTCTAACCAACTGACAGAGAATTACATCCTCGCTAAAGTAAGAATAAAGACACAGTATTAAGAACTTCTGTAGTGAGCGAAAGCCCTATTCGCTTCACATAACTTATGAAGTTCTTGCTTAGCCTGTACGCTTGCACCTTCATTCTTTGAAGCTGCTAAAAATTCAACGGCCAGAATTTCTTCAAAATGTATAGCACCACGTTTAGCCTTAGTCCTACAAACTTCTCTAATTGTTTTCATCGCACGAAAAATTGATTCTTCTTCACTAACTGGAGAAGGTACCTGGTAACTTATACCACCTAAAAACAAATTTTAAAGAACTTCGTAAATTATGTGACACAAAGCTTCAGTAGAGTAACAGTCAACCAGCTTGTCTACATCCCAGCGGTCAGCTATCGTAAATGTATTTGAAAGTAGAAGTGAAGAATGAATTGAAAGATAACCTCTAACTGCCACACAAAGCTTCATACGTGGACGACAGTTCATTATGGCTCGTTCAGCAATCGCAAACGGATCCAGTTCAATTGCTTTTTTCTCTTCTTCATCAACTTCCAACCACCGTTTGTATTGACGCCGCTTCACCTCTTCCAAAGCAAGGTATACACCCAAACGAACTTTCTCTGAAGGTCAGAAGATTTGTATATAATTCGGTTTTTGCCGGGAAAAATAATAAATACTTAAGTAACAGCGTTTTCAGCTCTCGAAACTGAACTTTATGCCAAGAGGAAATCTAATGGTGAAAACCAATTGCAACAAATCCAATAAAGTTCTATACTAACATACAATTACTAAAATAAATGGGAATATTTACTTAAAGTAAACAACAGAAGAAATCTTGAAAGAGATAGCCGCAACTTATAGGTAAAAAAAAAAAAAGAAAGAATAAAAGCAAGTCCAAAGAGAAAGAATTGATTTAGTAAAGTGACAAATTATTTCGGGATACAAAACAGAAACCTGGAAGAATTTCGAAAGAAATAAAACTAAAAAATAAACCTTTATTTCCACTTTTCATACAAACTCGGACGAATTTGTCAACTAAATAATTCCTGTAAAAAACTGGACTCTCGTCACTTTTCTGCGCTTTTATAAACAAATAATGACGGTCATCATCCTTAGGTAAAGGCTTGTTCAACTAAATAATGATTGTTACAACTGAATAAGTTTTGATTATTTTTTTTCAACTAAATAATGATTGTTCGCAACAAAATATTCAGTAAAACATTAAATAATATAGTCAAGCAACTCTTCAGCTGCACTGCACATAAAAGTTAACAAATTCAACTACTTTCAGCGGCGCTGAAAAACAAGTGTTTTAGCGACCAACAAAAATCGGAGTTATTGATAGCTTTCACACAAAAAAAAACGTTAACCACAACGAACAAAAAAAAACCTTCAATAAACAAATGTAAATAATACTAACCTCCTCCAAATCAGTGACAGGATCTGCGAACTTTTTAACATCATAAGCAGTCAAAAGCGGAGCCGTACATAAAGACAGAAATCGCCGACCAGGTGCTCCATAAAAAATTTGGACTACATTAAATCCCGAAATCATGATGACACAAATATTACGCTGATCGGAAGTCTACAACATCCAGCTCACTAATCCGCCAGTTGGCAACAGCACTGAAGATGAAAAAGACATGAAATAGTTTTACTCATGATGTCTCATAAGTACATATTAAAAATTAAACGACTTATGACTTAACGAAATAATAATAATAATAATAATAATCAGTCAAACAAAGGGACTAAAACTAACAAGTCAATAAAGCGACTAACAGTGGGAACAAGAAATCATTTTTCAAGAAGTGAAATAGCGAGACAACGAATGCGATATGAACGATGTTCATGAAAAAAAAA